ATATTTAAATATTGCCTAAAGTCACAAACTCGTCTTCTCTCTGTTGATTAGCATATTTGAGGCCTGTTAGAGGCCTCTAACTCAGTTTACCCCATTCTAGTGCTGGTGCTTTAGCAAAAACACTGAGAAAATGGTGTGATTTTTAAGTCAAAATTCTATTTTAGAAGCCCCCACATATCTCAGGCACTCTCAACACTTACTTTTGCTTGAAACTAATAGTACTAGGGAAGACCTTCCACTTGGAAGAGAGATTGTGTGAGCCCTTGAAGGTCATTCAAGCTGTTTGATCCTCAGTTTTCTCATCTATCCATTGGGGCCAACATAAGTGGTGCTGCCAGCCTTGCAAGGATAGCATGACAGCAAGTGAGTCCCTCCTGTGAGTGAGTAGCCACCAGGAAGAGAAGCTGGTAAGAGAACTGTAGGGGCAGATGCCAGGCAGTTCTGGTTGAGAGAGAAAAAATATCAAAGAGCAACAGAAAGACTATCAGGACAAGATTAAGTAAACTTAGTGGCACTCAGTTTGAATTAACCAAGCTAGGGCATAGTAAGGATCACATGTGAGTGTAAACTCTGGAGGCACTTGGGAAAATGTGCTATATTTGGATGACATGAGTTGAAAGGAAGCAATGGAGGGGGGGAAATGAGCTTTTTTTTTAATCTTGAGGAATCATATCTTGTGTATCCCGTTTAGGAAAGTAACACGCAACTAGGCAGATGGGATCCAGGTTATTGACATAGTATTTCTGAGGTAATGTAAGCTAGCAGACATGGACATGACATGGGTGTGGTGTTAGAAAGACCTGGATGTGAGTCTTTCTCTACCACTTACTGATTGGTTGACCGTGGACAAGGTAAACTCTCTGAACTTGAGTGACTTTCACTGTCAAGTGGACATAATAAGAGTGCCTGCCCATAGAACTGTAAGAATTAAATGAGATGCATGTGCATATGTGCTCAGTTGTGTCTGACTCTTTGCAACCCCATGGTCTGTAACCTGTCAGGCTCCTCTGTCCATGGGATTTCCCAGGCAAGGATACTGGAGTAGGTTGCCATTTCCTTCTCCAGGGGATCTTCCCCAGTCAGTGTTCAGTTCAGAGTCTCCTGTGTCTCTTGCACTGGAAGGTGGATTCTTTACCATTGTGCCACCTGTAAAGCCCTATTAAATGATATACTGCATGCAAATACTTGAAAGCAGAGCCCCACACATTGAACATGATTCATACATGTCAGAGACTGCTATTATCACTACAGTCAATGACAGAAGTAGGATCAGAAGATTTTAACTAGAATAATTAGGATGGAAAGATCTATTGAGGATGGCCAGTGGATGGGTTGAGAGTCAGCATCAAGGGACCTGGCAGCCCAGACAAAGCATACACACACAAAGTTCCTGATAGATACCAAGAAGAGAGGGACAAGTACACTGAAAGGAGGACAGAAAGTGTCAATGACAAGCCCTCGTCTTTCAGGGTTTAGCTCTCGGCCAGTCGCCGATGGCTCAGTGGGTAAAGAATCTGCCTGCCAATGCAGGAGATGCAGGTTAAATCCCTGGGTCAGGAAGATCCCCTGGAGGAGGAAATGGCAACCCACTCCAGTATTCTTGCCTTGAGAATCCCATGGACAGAGGAGTGTAGCCAGCTACAGTCCATGGAGTTGCAAAGAGTCAGACACAACTGAGCAACTAAATACAGGAAGCACGCACAAATCCTCTATACAGAGAGCACTGGGACAAGCTTCCTGATGTGGCCACTGCACAGGCCCTTCCACTTAGCTCCCACCAGTCACCCAGAGAATAGCATTTCCCACAGAGGTGACAGAGTGCCAAATCCTGGTGGGGGTGGTGTTGAGTAGGAACCCTGGTCTCCACTGCATCCAGTGCTTCTACATAAAGCCGGTGAATGAAAGAGACTGTTTGCCACGCCTGGGGCTCACTAGGTCTGGGCTGTGTTTCTCTCCTTCCATCCCTCCCCTCTCTATAATTGATGACTTTCCAAGGTATCTGTTTTATCCAGTTAAAGGAAAAGCAGACCAGTTAAGAGCTCTGGAGTCAGCCTGGCTGGGTTTGAAAGCTGGCTCCTCCAGTTACCTGTGTGGAATTGGGTAGGTCATGGCATCTCTTTCTCCAAGACTTGGCTTTCTTCCTTGTAAAATGGGGATAATTCGAACTGCCCTATCTTACACAATTGTTGTGAGGCTTAAGTGAGAGAACACATGCTACATTCTCGTAGAGCCCTGCCTATGTCTAAATTCTAGATGAGGGATTGCTACGGTTATTTTATTGTCACATGTTGTTCTCTTTGGGAACATGGTATCGCCCATGCCAGGTAAATATCACACATTGTTCTCCTGACTAGCACACCACAGCTTACTCCAAGAATGTAAATGGCACCTGAAAAATACACTTCACTATCAAATATTGTTTGAACGGAGCAATGCTGGAATTGGGGGGAGGGGAGCAAGATTTGGAGATTGACACAAACTCCCACCCACAATCAGCTCCAACTTACAAGTGTGCCCATCTCCCCCCTCACAAGTAACATTTGGCAAAGGGCCAGTGAAAATCAGAAATAGGTTTTGAGGGAAATATCTCCTCTCCCACCTCACCCTAAGCCACCACCAAGGGACAGCAACCCTGTCAGATCAATCACAGAATTTCAGACCAGGAAGGGATGGGCCACTCCCAGGTTATCTAATGAATCCTCCTCTAAGGCCCAGAGAGGGCAAGTGGCTTGCTCAAGTTTCCATAGCAAGTCTGTAGTGGAGCTGACAGTAGAAAACAAACCTAATTCTTATGCAGCTTCCCAAGGGAGGCCTTACGTGGTGAAATCTGAAAATTGCACAATGTCCCTCTGAGAGTACAGCACTGGCTGTACAATGGCATATATTATACAGGGAAAAACAATTGTGTTTCTTCTCACCCTGCTGAGCTGTGTTTGGCAAGTTGTTGGTACTGAAAAAGGTGTAGCTGTAATTCACTATGATCACTCCCCATCCCTTCCATGAACATGCCATGTGTTCAGCCATTTGCTCGCATGTAGATTACTTACATTATCTGGAATCTGAATATTCACCCAGTCCAGATATATGAGCTACTGACAGCTCCTGAGGGGAAGGGACAGAGCATATTTTTTTTAACCTTTTGACAGCCCTCAGCATCATTTCAGTGCATAGGGGACTACTGAAATGCTTTTGGTAATGATCAGATATCTTAATCATGTGTCAATAAATACGGAAGAGAAGAGAGGCAAGATAGGAAAGGAGAGATGGAAGAATGGGATGGGAAGAGAAGCAGAAGGAAAGATGGGTGGGAGGCAGTAGGAGGATGATGGGTGGGGCAGGAAGTGTCTTAGCATTTGTTATACCTCATTCTACAACAATAGACAAGAGGGTTTCTCAAAACACGTGTTGTGGAATAGTGTTCAGTGGGCTGCCATACAAAAGAGATTTCTGTGAGGCAAGAACAAAAGCATGGGGAGATTCTGGTACATGAAGAGTAATCAATTTCTTTACTGCAGGCTTACTTGGAGCCTTTTATATATTAACCATATCCACAGGAGATAGTGCATACAGTGTTCCCACAAACTTCATTGATTTGGGAATGTGCTCTTGGTCCTTTCACCAGAAACAGGTTCTTTCAAAATATTTTTAATCAGTAATAAAACTAGAATTCCATTCGACATCTACCTATTCAGGTACTCATCAATATTTGCCACAACAACTATGTGTCTTTGCAATACCCTAGGGCAGGGGTCCCCAAGCCCCAGGATCTAATGCCTGATGACCTGAGGTAGAGCTGATGTAATAACAACAGAAATAAAGTATACAATACATGTAATGTGCTTGAATCATTCTGAAACCATCTCCCCACTTCCAGTCTGTGGAAATATTGCCTTCCATGAAACTGGTCCCTGATGCCATAAAAGTTGGGGATCACTGTTCTAGGGGACAACATGTTTAGACACACAAGTGCACGTGCATGTGCACACATGCACACACACACACACACACACACACACACACACACACACACACAGCAGGCAGCAGCCGGTGCCTTGGAGAAGGTCATCCTAGCCACCTTTCCATGTGAAATCTCCTTCCTCATTGCCAAGATCTTTGGCTCTGGGGGTTGCTGACTTCCTTGCTTAGCCTCAGAGCCACCAAAAGATATGACTGGAATTGTACCCTTCATCCTTAAGCAACCTTCCTCGGTCATCAGCCACGAAAAGGTCAGTAAGGTTCTGGTCATTTACCTTGAGGACTAGAATCCACCCCCAATCACATGACCATACTCAAAGAACAGAGAAAGGGCAACATTAGCTTCTGCAAATACTGAAAATGTAATGCTGGGGTCAGTAGTTGGTGGAAGCTGCTGCTGCTGCTGCTGCTGCTGCTGCTAGGTCACTTCAGTTGTGTCTGACTCTGTGCGACCCCTTAGAGGGCAGACTACCAGGCTCTTCCATCTCTGGGATTCTCCAGGCAAGAATACTGGAGTGGGCTGCCATTTCCTTCTCCAATGCATGAAAGTGAAAAGTGAAAGTGAAGTCGCTCAGTCTGTCCGACTCTTGGCAACCCCATGGACTGCAGCCCACCAGGCTCCTCTGCCCATGGGGTTTTCCAGGCAAGAGTACTGGAGTGGGTTGCCATTGCCTTCTCCGATGGTGGAAGCTAGTCGATAACAATTATTAGTTTGCAAGCACTAGATAGTGGGTGGAAGTAATATTGTAGTAGTGGTTCTAGTACAGGTGCCTCTGCATATTGAAATATAAAACATTACTGAGAATATGTTATATAGTGAAGTAACATAAAATGGAAGCCTATATTCCATTCATTTGAATGAGAAAAATAATAAAATACATACACAAACTCCAACAAATTTTTCTAGATATTACTAAAACCCTCTTAAACAACTATATACATCAACCACAAAGTTATTAGTGTTATTCATAACACAAAGCATTTAAAATGTCAATATCTAATAATTTAACACTTAAGGAACTCACCAATTGGTAGTTTTATGTTTGTGCTGTGCTGAGTCCTCAGTCGTGTCCAACTCTTTGGGACCCCATGGAATGTTTAGGATACAATAATTTATATCCCCAGAAACAAATTATATTTCATTCCTAAACTTCACGAACATACCCTGAAACATAAAATAGAAGTGAAGGGTTAATCGCTCAGTTGTGTCCATCTCTTTGTGACCCCATGGACTGTAGCCCACCAGGTTCTTCTGTCCATGAGATTTTTCTGGCAAGAATACTAGAGTGGGTTGCTATTTCCTATTCCAGGGAATCTTTCCAACCCACGGATTGAACCTGGGTCTCCTGCTCTGTAGGCAGACTCTTTACCATCTGAGCTACCAGAAAAGCCTGTAATATAAATAAACAATGAAATAAAAAATTAGAGAGTCTCAAGATGTTGTTCACGTGGGCCTTGGTTGATAATGCCGCCAGGCACTTGCAATAAGCAAACATTGTGACTCATGAAAGGCTAAACTCTTAAGGGAAATGGTAGGGGAGATGATAGTGATGATATACAATGCTTTTAATCAGTTGGAACTCAAGATGCTGTCCTATCTAGAGAGGGGTGCATTCTACATCCTCTGGAGGGGATGCCCATGCAACTCAACTGTTTCCATCTGAAGGATTTCAATTTTTGAATAGTGCATTTGGGATAAATCTTTTTTTAAAAAGTTATTATAATGAATATCTAGATCGTGAGACTTCTGATAGTGAGGAATATCTGTATAGCCTTAGTAGCAGCAGTAGTGGTAGTTCTCATTTACTGAAAAGTTTACTTAAAAGAAAGGACCTAATTTGTCTCATTTACCGCCAACATATTCCCAGCATGTGAGTACAAAGTTCAGCATGTTGTAGGTGCTCAACAAACATTGGTTAAATGAATGAACTGAGTATAAATTGAGTACAAGACACTAAGCAATGTATGTGTGTTATCTCATTTTATCTTAATGTTAACAATGTTTATAATAGCCAGGACATGGAAGCAACCTAGATGCCCATCAGCAGACGAATGGATGAGGAAGCTGTGGTACATATACATGGATGGGGAATACATGTAAATCCATGGCTAATTCATTTCAGTGTATGACAAAAACCACTGCAATGTTGTAAAATAATTAGCCTCCAACTAATAAAAATAAATGGAAAAAAAATGTTAACAATGCTATGTGGTAGATAGTGTCATTACTCCCACTTTCAGATGAGGAAACTGAGGCCTAGAGGAACTTAACCAACATTACACAGTGCATGTGTCAGAGCCAGAAAGTTGAACCTTGTCTTCTGGAATTCAGAAGCAATGTTTTTACCCACCATCCTGTATATGATTCACTACTCTCACTTGGAAATCCAGACATTTGTTTGGGTTCTATAGGCTATAGAATTTTCTGGTACCTCATATCAGAGACCTTGAAAAAAACCACTTACTTCTAAGAATTATGAATCTCCTACACATGATTTCATTAGTATTATCTTTAAGTCTTATGAAATATTTTATTTTTATTAGTATTAATAATAATTATAGCTACTATAGATTAAGCCTTTACTATATGTCAATCAGGCACTGGGCTGTGTTGTATTATATCCAGTATTTCAGTTAACCTTCACAGTAACCTAATGAGGTAGATACTGTTATAATTTTCATTTTATAGACAAAGAAACTGGGGTTTGGAAAAATTAAGTAACTTCCCCAGGCAAATATCCAGTAAATGACAGGACTGAAACCTGAACTCACATGTGTCAGAACAAAGCAAATGATCTCAGTCACTCACCACATTTCTTTGGTGATCAGCTGACCAATCAGCTGATGTGACAAAATAGTAGTCCTTACTGCTGCTGCCTTATCAACTATTGCCAGGGCTTGAAGGAATCCTACCCTCCTCTTCTTGACCTTTGTATATACTACTGTTCCTCTGTCCTGTCCTTTCAATTTCGACTTCCTCCATGAAGCCTTCTCTGATACTGCTCTTTCACTCCTCAGGGATTGCTCCCTCTGCTTGGTCCCCCTCAGCACTCCATGTGTAAGCCTCAAAGAGTGGTCATTTACTTGGTCTTCCCTGGTGGTCCAGTGGTTAAGAACCAGCTTTGCAGTAAAGGAGAGGTAGTTTTGATGCCTGATTGGGGAACGAAGCTCTCATGTGCTGTGGAGCAAGTAAGCACCACAACAAAGATCCCAAATGCTGCAGCTAAGACCCAACACAGTCAAATAAATAAATATTTTTTTAAAGAGTGGTCAGTTCCTAGTTCCCTGCACTGGTCTGTGGCCTCTTTACTGTAGCTGTCCTCACTGGACTGGGAGCTCACATAGTGAGGGCCAGGTTCCTTGTGAAGGGGACCAGAATGTGTCACCTGAAAATGTGTCTTTGGCATAAGGATTATCCTAAGATGATTATTTTTAGAAAACAGCAGACATGGGAAAATCTTTGAAAACTGAATAGAAGTTAACCTTTTGTGAGGGACATTTACATTATACATATATATTTTTAATTAATTTTAATTGGAGAATAATTACTTTACAATATTGTGGTAGATTTTCCCATGCATCAGCATGAATCATCCTATAGGAAATCTCCATTTGTAAGGGTATCTCCTTCTCTGCATCAAGAAGAGGTGGATGAACCAATCTCTAGCAACTCTTCTTTCTCTGGAATGAAGGCAACGACAGCTGAAGATGCTATTTAAGGAGTTTGCTGGAGATGTTTTGGAGAGTTACTCAGTTTTCTTAGGTCTCACATATATACAGGAGGTATACATGTTATTGGGCTTCCAAGGTGGCACAGAGGTAAAGAATCCACTTGCCAATGCAGGAGATGCAAGAGACACGAGTTCCACCCATGGGTTGGGAAGATCCCCTGGAGAAGGAAATGGCAACCACTCCAGTATTCTTGCCTGAGATATCCCACGGGCAGAGGAGCCTGGCGGGCTACAGTCCATAGGGTTGCAAAGAGTCAGAAACAACTTAGCGACTTAACAACAACAACAAATACATGCTATTAAATTTCTGTTTGTTTTTCTCCCATCAATGTCTCCTATTAAAGGAGGAATCTCAGCCAAGAACCTAGAAGGTTCTTGGAGGCACTGCCTGACTGGATCCTCAGTGTGAAGAGTGGGCTGCTGATGACTGTATGTCCAGCTGTGCACCTGCGTCCCACCTACAACCCCAATACATCTTCTCAGAAGGGTCAGTTCAGTTCAGTTCAGTCCCTCAGTCATGACCGACTCTTTGCTACACCATGGACTGCAGAATGCCAGGCCTCCCTATCCATCACAAACTCCTGGAGTTTCCTCAAACTCATGTCCATGAGTCAGTGATGCTATCCAACCATCTCATCCTCTGTTGTCCCCTTCTCCTCCCACCTTCAGTCTTTCCCAGCATCAGAGTCTTTTCAGATGAGTCAATTCTTTGCATCAGATGGCCAAAGTATTGGAGTTTCAGCCTCAGCATCAGTCCTTCCATTGAACATTCAGGACTGATTTCCTTTAGGATGGACTGGTTGGATCTCCTTGCTGTCCAAGGGAATCTCAAGACTCTTCTCCAACACCACAGTTCAAAAGCATCAATTATTAAATGCTCAGCTTTCTTTATAGTCCAACTTGTATATCCATACATGACCACTGGAAAAACCATAGCTTTGACTAGATGGACCTTTGTTGGCAAAGTAATGTCTCTGCTTTTTAATATGCTATATAGGTTGGTCATAACTTTATTCCAAGGAGCAAGTCTCTTTTAATTTCATGGCTGCAGTCACCATCTGCAGTGATTTTGGAGCTCAGAAAAATAGTTTGTCACTGTTTCCACTGTTTCCCCATCTATTTGCCATGAAGTGAAGGGACCAGATCCCATGATCTTCGTTTTTTGAATGCTGAGTTTTAAGCCAACTTTTTCACTCTCCTCTTTCACTGTCATCAAGAGGCTCTTTCGTTCTTCTTCACTTTCTGCCATAAGTTTGGTGTCATCTGCATATCTAGGGTTACTGATATTTCTCCCGGCAAACTTGATTCCAGCTTGTGCTTCATCCAGTCAGGCAATGCTCATGAGGTACTCTGCATATAAGTTAAATAAGCAGGGTGACAATATACAGCCTTGAGGTGCTCCTTTCCCTATTTCAAACCAGTCTATTGTTCCATATCCAGTTCTAATTGTTGCTTCCTGCATACAGATTTCTCAAGAGGCAGGCCAGGTTGTCTGGTATTCCCATCTCTTTCAGAATTTTCCACAGTTTTTTGTGATCCACACAGTCAAAGGCTTTG